CCACTTCACGCGGGAGATAGAACGCAGACACCTATGATCGAAGACAGCTAATCTTTTCATGTCTTCTGCTCTCAATGGCCAGGTCTCACAGCCATAAAGGAGGATGGAGCGGACTGTTGAGCAGTACACACGCCCTTTGGTCGATAGTCGGATATCGCGTCTACGCCAGAGACGGCGAAAACTGGCGTATGCGAACCTAGCCCTCTGTATTCGTGCTGAAATTTCGTCTGAGATCAACCCGTTGGGGCTGATGGTACTTCCCAAGTAATTGAAGCGGTCAACGTGTTCTACCACTTCACTTCCTATTTCTAATCTAGGGGTCGATGAAGTCCAATCCTGCAGCATCATCTTACATTTTACAGGGGCGAATCGCATGCCAAACATGCGAAGATTGTTGGTCAGAGACTCAGTAGACTCTGCATTTTGTCAGAGTCCTCGCCTAGAAGGACTATATCGTCCGCATATTCTAAGTCAACGAGATTATTCCCTGGTAGCAAGTCAATCCTTGAGTCGCTGAAGTGTGTTAGGGTTAAGTCCATTAGTACGTCTATGATGAAGTTGAATAGGAATGGGGATAATGGGCATCCTTGACGGACGCCACTAGTCGTCACCACTTCAGATGACAGCTCGCCATAAGCCCTCATCTGGCTGCATGAGTACGAGTAGAGTGCCTTAATCAGTGCAATGTATTTTCTCGGCATTCCCTTTACAGCCAAGCATCGCCAGAGAACCTCCCGGTCGACAGAATCGAATGCCGCCTTTAGGTCAAGAAATATAATGATTGTTGGACGCCGGTAGGAATGCCTATGTTCTAGAATCTGTCGAAGGGTGAAGATATGATCAATACACCCTCTACCTGGCCTAAAACCTGCCTGGTTTTCTCGTGTTTGTGTCTCCCGAGCACCACTTAGTCTACGCAGTATTATTGAGCCTAGGATTTTAGATACTATATTAGTCAAGCTAATGCATCTGTGATTATCACAAGAAGACTTGTCTCCCTTCTTGTATATCGGGATGATCAGTGGCTTACACCAACCCGATGGGACTTCCTCTGATTCCCAGACGCTGCCTAAAACCTTCGTTAACGCAGACAGTAAACTGTCTCCACCGTACTTAAATACCTCTGGAGTCAATAAATCAGGTCCCGCTGCTTTGCCTTGCCTCAGATTGGTGACAGCTTTAGTAACCTCAGTTAAGGACGGAGGACCTGTGTCTACCTCCCATTCAGGGAGGTGTTGGATGTCCGGCAGGTTAAGTGTGGAGCCCTCTCTCACCCTATTGTGTAGTTGTGTGTCGATGCATGCAGTGGAATTGCTGAGCTATTTTTTGAATTACTTATCTTCGCAAGGATAGTCATTCTAACCTTAGCTAAATTCTTATTTTCTGACAATCTGACTACTCCCGATCTATGTAGTTGACCTCACAGGCATAGCAAGGTATTTTATAAATTATATTATTTTGTCTAATTGGGTTCACCGGGTCCTTTAACCTACAGAGCTTGTCCTTCTGAGTGAGTTTGCAGGTTTAAATGCCACCCTAATTCCTGCTTTATTAAGAATCCTATGTAGGATATCAGATGTCCCTTCCTTATATGGTAAAACTGTAGATGCCTTATATTCCCTCTTATTTATGTTATCATTATTAGTTTCCCCACTATTTTTATTTTGCTTTTGACAATTTGTGACTTATCACTCGTACCACAAATGTGGAAAATATTACTACCAATCAGGTCAAGAGATGAGAAATAGTGAAACCATACAAACGAAATTGCGTTACTAACTTGATATGATTATGAACAATAAATTGCTCTCGAAACATCATCACTAAATATTACTGCATAACACTGTAAGACTTTATCAAAATTAATTTTACCCACAATGGAATTATACTCTACCACAGTGCACAAGTTCTATTCTTATATCAATGCATTTTATCATTTTCTATGTATCATTTCACTGGTTCTAGATGATAGTGTTACTTACATTTGAGGCATGAGAAAACGTCTATACTTTGTTATGACCAGAGTGTGTATTGGAAAATTAAGCACTTGGTAAATACTCCAGTGTTTTAATCAAAACCCGTCAATGTGAAGTTATCAAGTGTATTTACACTAATTAACCATAATTATAATTATAGCATTTTTCTAGACAGTGTTTCATCTGCTTTATAGAATTCATTATGAAATATTACCTATATGTTCAGAGGTTTGCAGTAAAATAATAATCTAAAATGCAGCACCAGATGTGATATTGTTTGGTTTGAAGTTTTCTAAAATCCCTCCGGGATATTTCTCTTCCATTCCTTTCAGAAAATGCCGGATGATAGGTTGACAAATCTCTAACTTGCTTATAAGCTCAAAAGTTTGTGTGTAAACATAACTGATCGATTAAGGTGATCCGAAATAGGCTTAACATGATGGATAGTATTAAATAGGAAATCTGACAAGCTAGAGAATGAAGCATTATGTCAGCTGAATCGGCACATAAATTCAGTCTGATAAAGTTCAGGAGGAGAGTAGATTTCAGTAATATCACACTGAAAGCCTTGAAAATTTGGGTAGAATTGATTGTATCTGCCTCGATTAATGTCTAATGTTCAAGTGGCGGTTACAGTGTTTCATTATAATAGAAGTTCAGAAACGGTCTCACGACAAACTTTTAACTTCAAATACTGTACTGAAATAAATTCAACACATTTTTATGAAAAGTTTTTGCCATTCTGTTGAAGATGTCTGATTTTTTAAGTTAATACATAATCTTTCACGGATTATCATAACAGGTAAGACAATTCACTATTATTCTAAATAAAAACAGAAGGCATGTTACCAAATCATATTAAATTTATTACTTCTGGTGTTGTTTTCATTTGCTAGATAGTTTGTCTGCGGGGTTTCCATCGTCCTTCTACAAAACAATAGGGGCCATTAGTTTATAATGAAGTGAAACTCTCTGAGAATTAAATTGCCTTAAGCTTGCATGTGATTACTTGTCGCCGAAGTTTTTCTTATCATTGAGTTCACTTGTGTTGTCAGTGATCATTTCGTTGACCTGATATTCGAGTTGATTTTAATACAAGATAGATACAGGAACGACTAAGGTCATCAGGAGAAACAATGAAGTTGGTGCTGAAGATATTGTCTAGAAGGGCGATGAAAGCTTTGCAATTAAACCATCCAACCCAGAGAAGTGAACTACACCATCCCACAAATCTCTAACAGTATTTCGAAATTCTTCATTGTTACACACAATACGAGATAAAAGCCAAATTAGTTTATTATTATATTATTATTGTATCCTGTAATTCCTAGAGGAACATACGGCTTCAACCACACGTCTCCATTGCGTTCGCTTCTCTGCTAGAGTCTTCACCTGGCTCCATGTCTGCCCACACGTTTTCATCTCCTCTTCACATGACCTCCTCCAAGTCACCCTTGCACTCACTACCAACTCGCAGCTTCCCTTTCGGGTTCCACTCGAGCAATGGCTTGTCTAGTGATGTCACTTGATGGTTTCCTCAGAGTATGGCCAATCCATCTCCATTTCTTCCTGCCTATTTGTTTCACAATCAGTTCCTGGTTGGTTCGCTCATTGCCAGAGATCCATCCCTGTTGCTGATCTTTTCTGGCCGACCATCTGATCTTGAGTATTGAGCGAAGACAACTGTTAATGAAGGTCTGTAGTTTGTTTGAGATGCTCTTTATGACGCGCAGTGCAAGTCTCTGATCCGTATAGTAGGTAGCACTGACTTCACATTGGAGTTGAAAATTCGTATCTTTTTTTTGATGCTGAGTAGTGCTGTTGATCTCAACACAGACTTGAGAGAAATGAACGCTTGTCTTGCTTTTCCGATTCTTGCTTTGATATCCTCGTCAGTTCCGTCCACCTAAAGTTGAAACGATGTTTCTCAGGTAGGTAAAGGAGGTTGTTTGCTGATTGTTATCTGTTGTTGTTGTTGCTGTTGGTGGTGTTGCCCAGGAATCTTCATCACCTCTGTTTTCTCTATGTTTACCTGAAGTCCTATCTTTTCTGGATGCTTCTTCTGTCAACTTGTTGCTTTTCGCTTACATATCATGCAGTTTATATATATATTTACGATGAAAATTCTCTATGAATGTAATTATGTTAAGGTTGCATGTGATTACTTGTCGCCGAAGTTTTTCTTATCATTGGGCTCGCTTGTGTTGTCAGTGATCATTTCATTGACCTGATTTTCGACCGTTTGATTAATGACAGAGTTAATTTTAATACAAGTAGATACAATCATTAGGAAATCTGCAGAAACGACTGAGGTCATCAGGAGAAACAGTGAAGTTGGTGCTGAAGATATTGTCTAGAAGGGCGATGAAAGCTTTGCAATTAAACCATCCAACCCAGAGAATTGAACTACACCATCCCACAAATCTCCAACAGTAATATTAAAAATTTTTCATTGTTACACACAATACGAGATAAAAGCCAAATTAGTCTACTTACTCAAACTAATCGACTATACTATGAAAAGGATATTTTTAGAACTACGGAAATCAAAGGGGTTGAATTCAATGCAAAATCTTTTTAAGATTTGCTAGTCACATTCGTTTAAGCGGCCAGTTTATCCACAGAATAATCTATTAAGTTTTTAGTTACTTTGTTATATAGACGATTAATACACAACCAACTTCTGTCGGTTTTACATAATTATTACTACATTAGAATAGTGATGTTTCTCAGAAAACAATACAGTTTACTGCAAAATAATTTACGAACTGGTTATAAAAAACAGCTTATGAAACATATAAGCAGCACATAATACAATGACATTTAGAAAATCATTTGTGTTAACTTCCGTACTTATTATACTATCCACTGATTATCAGTAGTGAGGTCAGTGTTTACAAAATATTGTGACAATTTTAATGTGTACTTAGCTTTAGAGTCATGTTAAGATATAAAATATTTTTGTTTGTGAAAGAATTTCAAAAAGAATTGATTCGTCAGCACTCGTTTTATTTTTCTATCTAGGATGTCGTTGAGATGTCAAAGAAGTTAACAGAAGTTGAAGAGCAGCTGGCCGAAAGATCCGATGAGATCGCTGATTTAAAGGCTGAACGTAACAATATGAAAGTAAGTACAACCCTGAAATTATGTATTTGACCTACATATACCTTTTTTCAAAGCTATTTCTTATTAATAATTCTCATGGAGTGTTAAGCAGAAACTGAGACTGCAGTGAGAGGTAGAGTTTCAAACTTGTAGGATTAGAGTGGAGATTTCACACCATTCAAACTGATGATTATTTTAGAAGTAGATACATAAATGTAATTCCACTGAGAATACATTGTCTCAACATTTTCAATTAGTTCATCCACGGATTCGCTTGGTGTGTTTGTGTACCTGGAATGTTGTCATAGAATATCAGTGTAATATCAAGCAGTAAAAATGTATCATTAAAAAGTAGAAGTGACAGACAGAGTTTCAACCATCATTCCCCAAAAATATCGTTTCATATTTCCCACATACAACTCATATTTTTAAGGAATCTTCAGTGTAGATTGATTGTGGAATATCTTCCTAACGATCATTTTATCTACCGAATCTTTGTATAGTTTACCTTTGATTTGGAAAAATTAGCTTCCGTATTTTTTGTGAAAGTATTTAATCACCAAGAGGTACATGGATATATATAAATTAGACACGCTTAAGATATTCGATAATTTCATTCAAATCAATAATTAGTTGTAAAGTCAAGTTTTCGCCCCTTGTTTTCATTGTGATTTAGCAGAGATAAATATCTTTGTCTCTCAAAATCTGAATGAATAAATATGAAATGAAATGGAGGAATTTTCACTCTTTTTTTTCTGCTGTATGATAAATTCGACGTCCCTAAATATATGAGGAAGATTATTTCTTTGTCTGAAAGTCTTTTTGGCATAAAAAGTGGTACTGTGATGTCAAAATAGAATGAAACGAGAAATAATTTATTCTGTGCAATATGTGAAGCAAAGTGCATTCATATATATATATATATATAGAGAGAGATAGACTGACTTCTTATGTGATGGAAGATTTCGATATCCTACGTTTCAAGTTTATATACCTTTTTGTTAGTGTGATAATAAGCATATCACAAACTGGTAAGTTTGTGAATGAAATACTTTATAAGTATTCAAGTGATCTCAAAAAAAACGAGCAAATAATTAGTTAGTAATAAATGTTACGACAGGCTATTTCAATAGTTAATACTCAATTTCGATAAAAAAAGACTAGTTTTCTATTCATGTATGAGGTTTAAACGGGTGTTCAGCTACTCCTATTTTTTTTAACTTACCGTGACCTAACATGATTATGTTCCAAAATATAAAAGTAATCATATACAATGAAAACCGATAGTTCACTTACAGCAATATGTAAAAACACGTAGATTATGGAAGCTGAAAAATTGAATCGCTTCATTAAAATTATTTATGCCAAATAGACTCATTCGAAAGGATGATCGAACACAGAAGAGGTGAATAGTAAGCATGAGAAACTATTTAGAAATGGACGGTATGCCGTTGCTCTGATGATAATAATAATGCTTACTTAAAACAATCAACCAAAGTCCATATTATTATTATTATTCCCTTGGGTTCCTAGTGGAACATAGGGCTTCAACTGCACGTCTCCACTTGCTTCTGTCTTCTGCCATACTTTTCACCTCCATCCATTTTATTCCATACTGTTTCAATTCCTCTCCACATGATCTCCTCCATGTCACCCTTGGACGTCCAACTCGTCGGGTTCCACTTGAGGGCCTGACGCGCCGTCATCCAACGGCCTCTTCAGCAAGTGTCCAATCCATCTCCACATTCTCCTACATATTCGTTGGGCGATCGGTTCTTGTTTTGTTTGTTCCCATAGTTTCTTGTTGGTGATTCTTTCCGGTCATCTGATCTTCAGTATAGAACGAAGACAGCTGTTGATAAAGGTCTGCAACAGGCTGTTGGAAATATTCTCTGTGACCCACCACCAAAGTACATAATGGATGGCTTAATGAATTCATGACATTTGAATCTTAACTTCACGATAGAACACGGGGAAAATGATACTATTAAATTCCTAGATATTTATCTGATAAAAGGGACTGACGGCACAATGGAAACTCTTCATGGATGGGACAGTAAATACATTTTAATAGTTTTGTTCCGATCCAATTTAAAAAGAACTTAGTCAGAACACTTTTCAATAGAGCACGAAAAATTTGTTCTGACGGTACAATTGAACATAAAATAAAGACTCTGCAGGATATTTTATCTAAAAATGGATATCCCGAGAAGTTCATTCATGAATACAGTGAAGAAATGAGCCCCAGTAAAACTATTCATACAGTTCCAAAGCAATCTGTGTATATCATTTTGAGTATGTTTTTGGAAGTAAATACAGACAGGTGATTGTCTACTCACATGACGGAACATTGGCCGAGGTGATTGAAAACAGCTGAAGTGAAAGTGCCTCAAAGTTCAATAACAAATCATCTTATGGACTACAGACATGATATTGACGCTGTCAAGTTACTCAATGTTGTCAGCAGGGAAACAAACAGGAAGATGCTAGCAATTACGGAGGTTTGTTCGATTAGAGTTTATAAACCAGGTCTCTGTGTACAAAGAGGCATGGTCGTCTCTCTGAATCTACCATGGTAATATGTTTAATTTATTAATTATTATCACTATTATTGTTAATATTTTATTATACCCATTATTATTACTATTTCTGATCCACTTAAAACTATCTTTTAGCATTACCATTATCTTAACTCGTTTTAGCATAATCACTATTATTGTTACTATTATTATCAATACTTTTTAGTTCTAAATCCTTGATATCTTATCAGTCCTTTATATACCAATGTAATTTTATTGGTATATATATATATATCCCTGTATGTAGAGTATCCGGATGAAGAGTTCTACGGAAATTCAATGAATTCATTAAATCCTGCTTTATTAACTTTCGTTGTTTGCTTTAACTTAGTATCGGTAAATAAATGCTTCAAATAATGCTTATCATGATCTAAACACATACTTACAATCTAAGCACTAAACTAAGCCTTTTGAAACGTTAACTTATTGGTGAATTCATGTGTAAGCAGGTATGATATTTCCATAGTTAACAATTTCATAATGGAACTTAGTAGTATTAAAATTGTAGTTACTTTTATTTTTAAAAATAACTTATTTACTGCAGAATTGTTTCTATCATCTTACTTATGAGATTTAAATAATCTTATTACTAAGTCAACTAAAATGTGAAAAAACTATTCTGCAACGACTATTTAATTTTGATTATAAAGTTGAAACTTATCACTATAGTATATACTACTCAATTTGAAACGGGCGCTGGAAAATATCCTCTAGACGTTTTATCAGTTAGTTTCAGGATTTCATCATAAACTGACATTGGTTAGAGAACCATTGGAAAACCACCAAGGAGTACTGGGCAGCTGTTTTGTCCTAGTTTGAAACTCTTCAGCGGTATGCACGCATCGGACCTTCCATTTAAAAGGCGAGAAAATCTGAAATAATCAAAAGAGGAATTTCTTTAATTATAAAGAAGTAACTAGAAATTTTTAATAAAAGAACTAAGAAATTAGGTCAACTATAAGTAATTATTGTAAGATTAGTAGTGGGTGTCTAAATATGAGCATATACTGCAGTGTATGATCAAAGGAGTGTTAGTGGTTCAGTGGTAGAATACTCTCCAACATCACGAGTGGTTCAGGGTTCGATCTCAAGCCGAAGCGCTCCCAAACCTGCCTTGACCGGTAATAAACCCAGTAAAGAGGAAATTTTGTACTTGAGGCTAGCAACTCCAATAAGTAGAGAAAATGACACAACTGCTACCAAAAGTTCAAAGCTCAGGTTTGAAACCCTGTGTTTCACTCGGAATGTAAAGGAATAAACGAACAAAAAATAACATAAATATGATCAAAGGCTTAGATATTCACATACCATAAATACCACTGTGATTTGGCTCAGGGAGCCATTATTTACCGCTGATACATTTATCAACAGTAAATGAATGCATCGACTAATAGTACAAGTAATAAAACCGTTTTATAATTTTTATTCCCTTGAGTTCTGAGTGGAACATAAGGCTTCAACAACACATCTCCACTTTTTCCTATCTTCTGCCTTCCTCTTCATCTTGGATCACGATTGCCCACAATCACTCATCTCCTTCAACTCAAACGATCTCCTCCATGTCACTCTTTCACCGACGACCCACTCGTCGCGTCCCATCCGGATTCCACTCGAAAGCCTGACGCGCCATGTCATTCGACGGTCTCTTCAATGTATGGCCGATCCATCTCCATCTTCTCCTACATATTTTTGAGCAATCGGCTCTTGCTCGGTTGGTTTGTTCCCAGCCAGAGTTTCTTGTTGCTAATTTCTTCTCGCCGGCCTGCCATTCTATCTTCAGTATGCAGCCAGAGAAGGCAGCTGTTGATAAGAGTCTTTAACTTGTTGGAAATCCTTTTCTTCACACGCTAGCCAAGTTTCTGACTCACATACAAGAACTAACTTCACATTTGTGTTGAAAATGCGAATCTTATTGCTTATGTTGAGTGCATTGCAGAAGATTTCCAAGTTCAAGTCGCCACACTCCATATCTTTTAGAGTCTTTTTATCGGTGGTCCAGTGTATTCCTGTCTCCTGGCTTTCCATGCACAGTCTGACTAATAATCCAGTCCACCACGATTAAGAATGTCATTTTCGGTGATAATTGACAGCCAGATTGTCTTACTGCTGTATTCGCCTCGGGTGCCTCGCTAGGCTTTCCGTTATGGATCACCTGACACGTGCACCGTCATATAGCCAGCTGTTAAATGAGGCTGATAAAGACTTAAGCACTACACGCCGTAGTGTTGAAGTAATTTCCAAATTACTTCTCAGTCAACGCTGTCTGCCGAAGGCTTTTTCGAAGTCGACGAAGTTAAGGTGGAATAATGTTTGACTGCCATTTTATGCTTTGTTCCGACATTCGAATCCCCCATTTTTATTCTTGCTTTTATCGAGAGAAGACACATCGGCTGACTAGCTTCCCGAAAGCTTTCACCAGCCAGCCCCCTGTGTCGCGTCTCCGATTCGAGCGAAGAATAAGATTGTTATTTGGACCTTTTGTATTTCTAACATATTTTTTGTACGTTGAAGTTTCTCTTGCAGTTTGATAGCTTTTGTGGTGTGGGATCGCTAGCTCCACTCAAAACTCTCCCTCTTTACCTGGTCTTGCCACCGGCTAGAAAACTTTCAAGCTGCACGCCGCAGTATTGAAGTAGTTTCTAAATTACTTCTTGGTCAACGCAGTCGAAGGCCTTTTCGAAGTCGATGAAGTTGGGGCGGAATGATGCTTTGTTCTGTGATGACGATGAGTAGAGTAGCAAATTGACCAGCACTTGACTTGCCTTTTCCTGAACTTGTCAGCTGACTGTTCTAGGAAGTTTTCCTATGGATAGAACTTCTTAAGGTTCCGTTGGCTCTTCTTGTTAGTTCAGCATCAAGAAAGGAATTTTCGGATTCGCTTTTCATTTCAAGAGTAAATCTTATTGCTGAATGACAGTTACTGAGTACCTGTAACAACTGATTAAGGTTTTATCTACCACAAAAAATGTTAAAAATTATTAATTATTAAATCTAATGGACCATTTTCACGGATTACCGCCAAACAGTCTGCTTGCAGTGACATTAAGAGTGATCACATTGCGATCCCATCCTTTCTTCAGAAAGTGATGCGGACAAATGTGTAGTGTACATTAAGGGCACATCATAGTAGCAGTTCCTTTAAATACATTGGTTTTCCGTTATTAAACAGGTTTTCATTTGTATCCGCATATAAAACAAGCATTTTACGTAAGTGAAACGCTAACGAAGAGTGATTCGATTTCCAAAGACGGCCAGCTGAAAAGTACCACGAAGCAAGTAGACGCATATCTGTTTCCCAACGGGTTTCAGACTATCATCTGGACTTTCTGCAACTGAATGCTAGGTAGAACCTGACATATTTAGAAGTGGACGGAGAGGGACACCAACTTCCTGCATCTTTGGTAAACCATATATCCTAGGTATTACTGAGACTGTCAGTCGAATGTAATCATAAATATTATGGCTAATTAGTTAACTGTTTTCCATTCTTTTCAAAGCATCACTAAGCTGTTTCTCTGTTTGTTATGTTTTGTTTCTCTCGTTGAGCGGTTGAAAGGCTTTATTTTTTAATCTAAAAATATGGTCTTCATTATCTCTATGTAGCCTTTTCAATGAGAACCACACTGACACTATTGCTAGAACGGGTTATTAGTTGATATTTGCTGTATCTCAACTATTTTAGTTGTTGAGGTTGCTGCTTTGCTGACAGTTACAAACTCTTACTATTTTTTGGTTGGAGGGTTTCATCATGAGCTGACATTGGTTAGAGAACCATTGGAAAACCACCAAGGAGTACTGGATAGCTGTTTCGTCCTAGTTTGAGACTCTTCAGTGGTACGCGCCCACCGGGGTTCGAATCTAGGACCTTCTGGTTACAAGGTGAGCTCGTAGGCAATTAAGCCACTGGGACCCGATCCAACGGCCCATGAATTCTAACCCCTGCCAATTCATGACATGGTGCGACCACTTAGCAGGTTGAAGGTGGGGACAGTTACTCATCGAAGACATTGCTAAGTGGTGGCACTATGTCGTGAGTTGGTAGAAGTTAGAATTCATGGGACATTGAATCTGGTCCCAGTGGCTTAATTGTCTACGAGCTCGCCTTGTAACCAGAAGGTCTTGCTTTTGTGTTGAGGTATTCATGATAATTGTCTATGATAGCTAATTTGAATCACTGTAATTCTTGACCAGAAACACGGGTTAGATCATTCGTTTGGCTGATTAATTGTTAAAACTGTACGTGAATATGAAGTTTGTCGACATTGAGGTTGATATCAGAGAATTTTTCACCTATGGACAAGGCTTTCAACTGTAAATTTAATAAATCTATTGACGAATAATTGGATACAAATATTTTTTGGGATCATCAGGAAATTTTCTACGAGATTCGATAAACTTGAGGCCATCAGTGAGCTGAGATTTAGCGGATTGTGACTGTTTCTTGGCAACTGTATTGACGTATTCTGTGAATCTCTGACACGCATTAGGGAACAAGTCGTATGGGGACTGAAGTTCTCTGGAAAATATTCGATTAGATATCTAGAATGCTTGATCGAATGGAGTTAGCATAATTCAATGCATGACGTCTAAGTGACTTTCTATTACAAAGTCACTTTATATATATATACATCTTAAAATCTTTATTTATAATTCGATACCTCTAGTGTTAACTTCCAAAATAACTATCTCACCTTCAACTTGATTTTGTTTTTACATTAACATCACTCCCTACGATAATTTGTCAATAGTGAGATGATTTCACTCTAATAGTTTCAGTTTAAATATACAATGATGCAATTAATTATTATTAAAAGCAGTCTGTTTTTAAATATTTCGAGACTTACATCTATTAAATAAGAAGGAACAGAATGTATTAATTAGAGAAGAGAAGATTATTTCAAAACGTATGTTGAGTAGGTGAAAAATAAAATCATTCGAATTTATCAAGTTTCTCTATCAAAGCAACATATGGTCTGCTTGTTCTAAAATGTTTTTCTTAAGGGTAATAATAATAATAATTGTAATTATAGTCACTTTATTCCAAACAGTGCTTTTGATACAGTGTAGAATTCTCAGTTACATCCCGGTTGCCTCTTATTTTAGAAGAATTTATTGTAAATCATCTGCGAAAAAGAAATGTGAGTAGTAAATTCAGAATGATGGGGATTTAAATATTCAAAGCAGTATAAGTAGATTCATAGTAATGAAGTCCTTCTGAAGTAACGCTAATACAAAGTTGAGTGTTAGCAAGATTGAAACAATTAGCCCCTTTGATAAATTTGAATAAGGCATTAAGAAGACAAATTTCTCGAGATGATATCATTTCTTTATAACCAAAATGGCTACTAAATCATATAGATAATCCCAACGCGATTAATCTGAATAGAAATCCAGCATCATCCATTGAAAAACACTTATTAATGTCAGGTCACAAAATCAATACTGATGACCGTTTCACAATTATTTCACATAACTCTAATTCAAGGTTATTGAAGGTGATGGAAGCACTTCGGATTAATCACATACAGCCTCAACTGTGTGTACAAAAAACAATAGACTTCAATCTTCGCCTACCATGGACTACATGACCTATCTAAATATGATTGGCTATTAGTATGCACTTTTGTTTTTTTATTTAACTGAGTAATTGTCATGAACTTTATTTTATTATTGTTAACCATGTTAGTTGTAAAGCGGTTGTAAAGAAACTACGAAATGATATCATCTCGCTAAATTTTTATTCTTAATACATTATTCAAATTTTAGTAAGATGTTAGCAGAATCATCTACTTAATAATAAATACATAAACATGAGTTGAGAATAAAGCACTTTTTTCCACTTCACTAATTAGTGAATTAATCTATTTACCTAAATGGTCTTTGTTTCAGTGACTACACTTTGAATGATAACTCTTTAACTTATGCTGCTTTAATAGAGACGGGGAAAAGTACAAATTTCATATAAGATTTGGTGCCGGGTTCTCATTAACTTTGATGAATACTGAAGTATTGGGTAAATATGTTCAGTACGTAATTAATCACCGCCCTTCTATAATCGATGAGGGCAAAGTTAAACTTTAATTACCACTAACTACTAATCAGCAAATGACCTTGAGCGCACCAATCACATGAAGGAGGCATTTTTGGGTATGGAATACATATATTTATGAAAAAAATGCATAAAAACTGTATAAAACTGTTACATAGGAAACCTTTCTCTCACATGCGATAAAACCTCTCCCAGTTTAGCATAGGAGTATCAACTGAAAAGTTACACCACAGCCTATACATATATTCATCTAAATGACTATAAATGACATCCTTTTGAGATTCATTAATGGCTCTAATCCTGTTTTTTAAACTTCTTCAAAAGCCTTTGATAGAATTTGTATGTGTCCATGTAATGGGATTCACAAAATCATTAGAATAGTTGACTCTGTCGTAAATATATACAAGGGATGACAAGGAGTTATAACCTTTCCAATCAACGGTTTGTTTTGTAGATCCTTGTTTTACCGGTCGAGTGATAATAGGTATTAAGGTAGTTGACTTTCTATCTGTTATTCTCTCGACGAATCCTTTCTGTAGACAAGTATCATATAAACCAATCCCCCAAACATTATTTGATTGTTCACGACCATGGTTGTACTTTTTCTTTATTAAGACAGTTTCATCCACAAGTACGATGACACCTTCTCCTCCCAGTAACGAAGTAAACCTACGAATTTTCCACGAATGGATATCCCTGCAGTGTTGGTACCACATATCCATCAACCAGCATGCTGAAGCTTTTTATACTCATGACACCTTCACATGAACAAATCCTTTCTTTCATAATCAACCCCACATCCGAGCAATACTGGAAAACCTTATCCTTACCAAATCGCAAGTGCAAATGAGTTAGAGCAGGTATTTGACTCGAATCAAGCGGAATAGAAGCTTCAGTTCACGTGGATGAAACTCATTGAACCATTCATGGTCAATGGTGCGGTTGCACTCCATTTGATAGTTAGTGCTGCTTAAAGTTTAACTTGGCATCGATGAGTTGGAGTCTAGTGGCATAGTCAGACACCATGTTACTGCACACGGTGAGAGAGAGAGGGGAATTCTCAGAATGTCCTTTAAAAACACTGTCAGAATTACCAGTAAGCATTTCATTATTTAATCTTTTTTGTGTTTTTCTGAATAATAGATTCTTTTAGAACATTTGGAAAACCTCGTGGCACGTCATGAGAGATCGCTTAGAATGACTGTGGTTAAACGTCATACATCTACAGCAATGGGTACCAGTACGAACTCCTTAATTCCAAGTGGAACCACATCTGATGGTGACTCAGTATGCCCAGAAATGGATATTTTGAATCCCTCCTCCAATTATTCAATGAATGCCACAACCGGATCACTCAGTCCTTCAATGACAGGATTAGGTTCTGAAGCTGAGGTTTTAAAGGCCTTAAAGTCTTTATTCGAACATCACAAGGTACTGGATGAAAAAGTTCATAACAGACTGAGAGTATCACAAAACAAAGTTACTGAATTAGAAAATGAATTATTGGAGTTAAAACGATCTGCGCTGCCTGCATCAACCATAAATACACAAAATAAGAGTATTAACCAAACAATGATATCAACTCAGACACAAGTTGAAAGTGATTTACTGAAGTCTGACGACTCAGAACCGAAGCTCAATCAGGATCAGCAGAAACTACTGTCGCTTAGGGGTGAGTGGAGAAAAACAAAAATAACTTTTTACAGTTACTGTTACTTCAAGGTTTCATTATTTTTATTATTTAAATCTGTATCATTAGCATTATCCTTTAGAATAGTGAGAAGATAGTAGACATATTTTATCATTCTTTCATAGTGGAAATTACCGCCTAATGAATATACTGACTATGGAGCTCTTTCATTTTATTACCTAAATGTAATTGAAAGAAATCAAATTGGCAATATTAGATGCATTTAGTCTTGGAGGAACTATGCTCAAACTCAGGGTTAACTATGTCGGAAGTATTTACATCTGTTTGCCAAAAATTAGCTAAATTCTATGGTTTTACTTACCACTTGGAAGGTGTTAACTGCCGTCCAGCTAGTTTATCCTGTACTTTATTTGTCAGGTAGGAAGATTTCACAGTGGTTGAGTTCTTCAAATTTTAGACTTCATTCCAACAGTCTAATCCTTCATATATTAATATGTATTTCTAAGGGTTGTAAAGCAAACTTACACATTTTACTATCGGATGATTCCTCTACTAGTAAGGCTGGTGCAGCATTTCATCGTGTTTCCATCTTCACTGATAAAAGGAGTAATGTGGGTTTCACAGAGACTACAGTTTTTAAGAAATTAGTTTACGATTTTACACAGTGGAATGCTTTCCAACCTGGTCATATTAAAAAGACAGTCTGTAAATACTTTGTTTCCTTTTTGAAATCTTTGAAAAGAATGAGCCTTGTACATGTTTTCACGGAAATAAGACAATAGAAAGTAATCAAAACTTTATTTCATAGTACTCAGTCTTTCTCAACCAATAAACCAGGTTAATTGACATATGTACATGTAGTTTATTTAGCGTTCATTGATTTGTCGTTTTTATAATTGGTATGCTTGTTGTTTACATTCATTTATCACACATATCAGCAAGTATTCAGAAACTTATCCTTTTCATAAATGTGAATTATTGTCTCAGTTTAGAACATTTAACTCTGAGGATGAATATATTATTGAAATTTACACACTGATACACAGGATAATAAAGTATTTATTTCTGCAAACATTTATTAATCGAATACATTGCAACTATCAAGTGAATAAATTTCAAACCTTATTTAAAATGGCGTCTGATACTATCTCTCTCTCTCCGTCTCTATGTGATGAAATTACCGAATAATAAGCATGCATGACCAACCTTCAAATCCTATTAAATCCAAACTAAACGTATAGTCTAAACATTGTTAACACATGCATACCCTCATTCTATATTCTTCAATAAATATCATTAAATCTACACTACGATAAAAGATTATATTACTTACTGTACAGGATAATCTTTAACTTTATCTCTCAGAATAAATGATCTGAATTCGCTCAGCATGGTATAAGGTTTTAGTAAAACACATCAAAATATTTGCTTATGAAAGTTATATGAGAAGAAAAGGAAAATTTGTTCGGCTATTTCTTAGGCTTTTCACTTTCTTTTCTCTAAATTATCTTTTTTACTTAGATAATAAATATATTAGCTATGAGATGAAGTGAGAGGTAATCAAGAGAAAAGTGACACTTCCCTCATGTATGTGAGAGTATTTCCAACCTCTCGATATTTAATATAAAATTTATGATCAAATCGCCACATTACGGATCATCATTGAACAAAGCTTGGAATGGCAGTCACCTCTCTATCTCAACTTCATCGACTTTGAAAAGGCATTCGACAGCGTCGATCGAGAGGTGCTTTGGCAACTACTTCGCTACTACGGGGTGCCACCGACAATTATACATCTCATCCAACAGTTGTATGACAATGCTGCATGCCAAGTAATCCACAACGGGAAGCTCACGGAATCCTTCGAAGTGAAGACAGGAGTAAGACAGGGTTGCCTACTATCGCCAATGATTTTCCTGATTGCAGTAGATTGGATAATGCGACAGACAGCGGGCAATGAGGAAACAGGCATAAAATGGACTCACACAAAGAACTCGGAGGATCTGGACTTCGCCGATGATATATGTCTGATTTCCCAAACTGGAAGATATGCAAGTGAAAAGCAACAAGTTGGCAGAAGAAGCATCCAGAGAAGATAGGACTTCAGGTGAACATAGAGAAAACAGAGGTGATGAAGATTCCTGGGCAACACCACCAACAGCAACAACAACAACTGACAACAATCAGCATAAATGGGAGGAACCTGAAAGAAACAACCTCCTTTACCTACCTACCTAGGAAGCATCGTTTCAACTACAGGCGGAACTGACGAGGATATCAAAGCAAGGATCGGGAAAGCAAGACAAGCTTTCATTACTCTCAAGTCTGTGTGGAGGTCAACAGCACTCAGCATCAAAAATAAGATCCGGATTTTCAACTCCAATGTGAAGTCAGTGCTACTATACGGATCAGAGACTTGCACTGCGCGTCATAAAGAGCATCTCAAACAAACTACAGACCTTCATTAACAGTTGTCTTCGCTCAATACTCAAGATCAGATGGCCAGAAAAGATCAGCAATGAGGGATCTCTGGGAGCGAACCAACCCACCAGGAACCGATTGTGAAACAAATAGGCAGGAAGAAATGGAGATGGATTGGCCATACTCTGAGGAAACCATCAAGTGACATCACTAGACAAGCCATTGCTCGAGTGGAACCCGAAAGGGAAGCGGCGAGTTGGTCGTCAGTGCAAGGGTGACTTGGAGGAGGTCATGTGAAGAGGAGATGAAAACGTGTGGGCAGACTTGGAGCCAGATGAAAACTCTAGCAGAGAACCGAACGCAATGGAGACGCACGGCTGAAGCCCTATGTTCCTCTAGGAATTAAAGGAAACAATAATAATAATTATGAATTAACTAAATTCATTTCATCGACGAAATAAAATGAGCAATAATTAGTAAATATAAAAATACATCTAAAGTGACAAAAGCTGGAATTAAACTGACATTTAATCACATTTTTATAGCAACGAAAATCAAAATATTCTTTCTGTGCTATAAACTTTCTCTTACTGTCCTAATATCTTCCATTCTTTTGGGGACAAAATATGTTAACATAGTAAGTATAACTTATCAGTTTTACAGTTTGAAGATTTAAAACCATACACTAAGGAAAATGCATCCAAAATAATGCCAGAAACAAATCCGTAGTGTTAACCTCTGATATCTGTAAATATTTCAAACTTCTGACTGTTTGATTGCCTTTTAAATACTACGATTTTAATGTCAAAATTATTTGTAATTGCCTGAAAAACTTATTATTGTAATTTGTTCTGTCTTTTGTATTTCATTCATTTAGAAACTGCAACACCACCACAAGGAACACTAGTAACAAGTACAAGTTCAGATGTGTTAACATCCTTTCCTGTTTCAAGCGTATCATTGTCAAATTTATTTTCTGCTTCAGCATCAGTAGCTGCTATCGAAGCAGCTAATAGAATAAAAGAACTGCAGCAGAATCTTGAACAACGTGTATGTCTATTCTTTAATGGTTGCAGAATCGTTTTGGAATTGCTAATTTGTGACATGTTTCACTTGTATATTTGAAAATGTATCTCTGCTCTGAATATGAATGTCGAACATGAGACAGTATCAAACCACTGACTCTACTTAGTTTATATGCCAAATGTTCTCTGAGTAGGAAAAGTTATAACATTTAAGTTTGAAGTAGTTATCTAAGATTTTATATTGTGTGACGTAGAAATGTAAAAATACTAGTGGACAGAAAACTGTGTCGATCCACGTATATATTCAGGTGTCTGTTGACGTCCGTATTTGTTCCTATAATTTTTAGATGTTTAGATACTGAAAAAAATAATATCCTGTAAAGTGGTAAGCATGTCTTATTAGTATGTGGTAATATGCTTGGACTCTAGGCTGAAGGATTTTTCCAAATTAGTTTAAATACGTAAGAGATGTTAACAACTAATCAACGTATTCACAGTAACATATTGTTTCATTTTCAAGCATTGGTTTGCAGGGATTAGATTGATTTCCGGATTGATCACAGAATGACTTCAGTTAGAGGACTGCTGAAAACCAGGTAGTACTAGATAGCTGTTTTGTCCCATTTTAAGACTCTTCACCGGCACGCACCCATGACTTCACTAGGAGTTGAACTAAGGGACTTCAGGTTGCAAGGTGAGCTCGTTGACCATTCCGTGACTGGGATGGAATCCAATAGCCTATTAATTCTAATTTCTGCAAATTCGCGATATCTAGTGCTCTTATTTAGGGAGCATTGTCTCAACTACAGGAGGAACGGAAGAGGATGTCAAATCGAGCAAGAATCGGGAAGGCGAGAAACACATTCATCAACCTGAAACCAATCCGGAAATTTTCGTCACTCAGCATCAACAACAAAATTCGGATTTTCAATACAAACGTCAAGTCAGTTTTGCTATACGGATCAGAAAGTTGGCGGGTCACAAAGAATATTTCCAACAGCCTGTTACAGACCTTTATCAACAGCTGTCTTCGCTCTATACTGAAGATCAGATGGCCGGAAAGAATCATCAACAAGAAACTATGGGAACAAACAAAACAAGAACTAATCGCCCAACAAATATGCAGGAGAAAGTGGAGATGGATTGGACACTCGTTGAGGAGGCCGCTGAGTGACATCACGCGTCAAGCCCTCTAGTGGAACCCGAAAGGGAAGCGGCGAGAGGGAAGTCGAAGGGTGACATGGAGGAGATCGTGTAAAGAGGAGTCGAAACAGTATGGATTAACATGGCTGCAGGTGAAATGTACTGCAGAAGACAGAAGCAAGTGGAGACGTGTAGTTGAAGGCCTATGTTCCACTAGGAACCCAAGGGAACAATAATAATAATAGTGCTACTGCCAGTCATTATCATAGGCGAGTATTTGTCCTTAAACCCAACTTGGTGAACCCCGCTGGTCCCAACTTATTACTAAAACTCTGGGTATTATAATAAAGGTGTTTTATTTCTCAATGAATGAAAAACAAAACGATGTTGGGAAATACAAAAAACCTTTATTATAATGAATATCATATACCCAATGCCCAAATGTTTTCAAACTGTAAAAAGTGAACTTGGTTTGGACATACAGAACTTTAAGCAATTTCATCCTGTATTAGGTCACTAGAGAGCAGTTGATTAGTTTTCAAGTTTTGGTTTGTTGAAATATGATTGATTTCAAGATAAATTATCAAACGACTATAATTATTTTTACTTTTAATCTTGAAATGAACTCAAAAATGCACAAGGTCACCATTTAAATTTTCTTCAAAGTCCAACATGATCTTTACACAGAAAAGAAGAACAAAGTAAGGTCAGTTTAGATATGAAAACAGACGTAGAAACTCTCAACTCTTTTGCAGTTTTAATAAGTTATGCACACTTATTGCCTTATCAAAAATACTTTCCAAAGTGATTTGTAGTAATCCAATCATTTCATTCAAATTGAACAGTGTATTCGTTTATCGATAGAGAGAGTAGTAAATAGTAGTAATGAATAATAAATAGGATAGTAGAATAGTTTGCATGTAATGTGGACTACAAATAATGAAGAATGGACAGTAGCTTTGTTGAAAAATGCTAGTTTTCAAGATTTTATGTATTTTGCGGTGATACTGTTCAACTTACATTTAGAATTCCATCAAAATAGCTTGGATTAATAGCTCTGAAAAATCCCATGTGACTGGTTCTGGATTATGTAACTCAGCCAACAAAGTCGGCTAACCTTATTTCGGATGGTTTCATATTTAGAAGTCTCTAATAATTGTAAAATTATATCATGTGAACATCGTAGGGCAGTGGTTTTGTTAGACGAAATATTTTACACGACAACAACTCTGAACAGACACCCTTCCACATTTACTGATTACTTCTTCAGTTCAAATTAAAGGCACGTTTTCTGCAAAAGAGTTTAGTTTCAACGATGGAAAGTGGTCGCAAACAGTTATCATTTATCCTCTTTGCTGATTTCCATATCAGATACCTGCACACAGGACTGGTTGATAAGATGGGCCCGAATGCAGAGCTTATCCATCAGTTTGAATTGACACTTAAAGACTTTTTTACAGGGAGGAGAGTATTTCAACGAGATCTTTATGGAAATGATCAATTTAAAATGAGAATACTTAAGCGATACTCTTATTTCAAGACACATTCATCTTTACCCTTAAAAAGAGTTGTTTTTGAACAGGCATTGAACTTCTTCAGGTCACCATCGATAGTCGTTTAACAGAAAAGATGTCGTGAAAATACTTAAGTTTAAATCATTAAATACTAATAAGAATGAGGTGGGAAGATCTAAAAAGTGCCATGCCACCTTCATTGATGAAGGCACTTTAAGTGTTCCTCTTGATACTGTTTAACTTTCATTGTTTGTACTTATCATACGGTGCATTATATTTTGACGAATGGGTACTGCAGTCAGTATAAATCATCAGTAGAAAAACCAGTTGTTTGCCTACAGCATATGCTTTAAGACCAATGTTCATCTTTTTTACTCCGCACTTAATTTTTGACGTGCAGTGTTTCTAATAAAACTAAGTAGTGAGATTATATAACGGCCTCAGTTGTGTTAAGCGGATGCTCAGACGACAGCGTAAGTAGACATTTTCATTAGTTTTAACTGAGAAGAGTGAGTCAAGTGGAACTGTATGAAGTAAAACTATACTGAATACTATGAAAACAGTACTACCAAATACCTCCCCCGTTTTTAATGATGCGACGGGGTAAAAGGTGTTCGTGAGTATATTCTAATGACTAAGTATATATCCTGAAATGCTCCACACTATATGAGTATTTGTAAAATAATCTGAATGTTTGCCGGAAGACAAATAATAAATGGTGAGAAGTTGTAACCAGCAGGGTACCCCCAAGTCTAGTATAGAACAGTTAGTTACTTATGACACTGACTGGCGGTTGTGCTATATATATCACGAATTGGCAGAAGTTGGAATTCATGAGCCATTGGATTTGGCTTCGGTGGCTGAGTGGTCTATGAGCTTGCCTTGTAACCGAACGGTCCTCAGGTGAGCCTCAGTGGGTGCGTACTGTTGAGGAGTCACAGACTAGGAAGAAGCAGCCGTCCAGTAATCCCAGGTTTTCCAATGGTTCTCTAACTGATGTCAACTCGTGATCAAAAGCAGATGACTAGATCTCAATTATTTATTTCAAAGAAGTCAGCTACTATTCCTTTTAACTGTGAACAGTGATTTTGTGTTACTAGTCGGTCAACGGTTAAAATTGAGACTTTATTCGCTATTTGTAAGACTCCAGAAAGTGTATGTACTTTAATGAAAAAATTTACATAATATCAGTCAAATCATGTGACTGTGAGGTCTGGAATAGTCTAGCAATGTGATCAGCAGATATATCATTGATGCTGGTTACACAGTAGGTTTAGACTGTTCCTTAAGTAGTTTACAGATAAAGTATTAGTCCTTATTTGCATTTATATAAGATATCAGTGTTGCATCTTCCTAAATCTAGTTTAAATCCACGAAAGTAGCCGTTTGTTCTCCCTGCATTATCTAGGTAAACTGACACTTTCTTATTCTTTGGTCTTATTATTTTCTCTCCTTCTCATCTATTGATCTTACTCCTTCAGCCGAAATTTTAAGCACACCTACATTTATTAAAGTTCACTTTTAACTCCTGGAATGTCCTTTGAATAATACGCCTTCAAAACTACAAAGTTCCAACAAGCATGAAATTCATGTTCAGGATTTCCTGTTCATTGGCTACTGTTCACAAATGAATTTAAATCTTGGTAGACCATAGTCTGCAGTAGTCTTGTGTCACTTATATTAGTGTCCATTCGGCATGCTGATAGACAGATATTTTTTGATGCATTCCAGACTAGGCAACTAAAATAATACTTTTGAATTGTGCTATATCACTACTTTCTAACTGGATATGAAATGTTAATTTTCTTAAACTTCATGACTTCATTTATCCTGTCTATAAATAGCATCATAATCTCAGTCCTTCCGTCCTGTCAATCAAAATAATTTCTGTAGGTATTGATCAGTTTTAGTGAATACCTGTTATCATTATAAGGATAATTTTTTGATTAGGTTACACTTATCATTACTTGTAAGGTGGAAACGTGCAATTTCAAAAAAAAATGATCTAACTGTTATGGATCCCATCACTAGACACTTCACATATGTAATCAACACTTTAAAGCTGATAGAAATGAAATGAATTCAAGTCATTCATCAGTGTTTGTAGTGCTTTTCTGAAAACACTTTGTGCTTGACATTTTGTTTAAGAGGATAAATAGAGGTTTCATTTAGCGTTTCTACAAGGTATTCAACATATTTACAAAAAGTAAAGTAGGTTATATTCATATATAATGTTTATATGTATATATATTTGAAAAGTTAAAACAAGTACTATGTTAGCGAAGTAGGGAATGTTAGTGTTCAAATTTCATGCAAATATTTAATTAGAAAATTGTGCTTGGCAATGATATACTACTGCTGAAGAATATGAAATAAATTTTTAAAAAAGTGAGTATATTACACATCATTTGTTAATTTCCAAATTATACGGACGATTTTCGCGTAGAAATTATCAGTACGATTCTGTCTCGTTAAACGTTTGAAAAATGGTCTTGAATATGTAGATTATTAGAATCTTTACAGAAATGATAATTGTGCATAAACAATTTAATTCGTTTTTGTTTATTTTTTTGATTTTTGTTTTCAGGCGTCTGAATTGCTTGCAGCTAGAAGACAAGTTATAGAACTGACCAGTCGATCAAGAGAAAGTTCTAATTCGCTTAGTTTAGTAAGAAACGAATTGAATCGAGCCAATGATCAAGTAAGTTAAGAAAATGAATTATACAGCTTACATTTTCACAGATGACGAAAGTCAGGTGAAATTCAGACAAAATATATTTTTGTCAGTCATTCTTCCATAATCGTTTGTAACTTCTCTGGCATATAGAACGTATGCAGAATCCTTAGCAGATATAGGGCAACAAAGTATTTTCATCTACGTGGTATGATCTTAGAATGTTGTTTTAGAACAGATGAACCTGTGTGGTCAAATGCCTGTGAACATGGTCCATAGCTCTTTACAGAGACTGATTAACTTCAATCTGTGTTGGGCAATAAAATTTAGTAAATGTCCTCTCGTTTTCCTTAAAGTATTGCACTTTCAAGGCAGCAAACGTTTTAATCCATTTGCTGATTAACTAGAAGAAACTGCATGCCAATTCTTGTCACGTTTTAAGGCTTGGTGACACTAAATAAGACTAGTCTTAACAAACAGTGATGCCATCTCCAGCAATTTCGGTGGCTTTTAGTTTTTATTTATGGGATTTCTTACAAATAATGACTCTGATTTCGAAATGAGTCATTGAAACCAACAGTTTCAATCAGATATGAATCGAATTTACTTCACTTTTTAGGTGTAACTAAAAGGCCTGTTTGATGGTAATTTATAAGTTGTGGAGGTCGCTTTCTTATCGTATTGTTATTTAATTTATGTTCTGTCCAGAAAACTCAGTTGCAGGCCATAGATACCTTTAATGTTAAATCGACGAGCAACAGTTTCTTCTACTGTGATTCGCGGCCTTCTCTTAACAAAATGATTTCGAGTAAATTAATCAAATGTGTAGACTGAAACAAACACATCGTTGTGCACCTATTGAGAATGCCATATTTTACAACGCAAAATGGCCTTAAGCCAAGTAGGGTAGTATCTTTGAAGTGCAACTGATGATATCACTAATAAACTTAAAGCAAAAGTATTTAAAAAATTACTCGTGTTACTCTAAAGTGAGGTAAGTGAAGGTAGGTGATAAGTGATATTCAGCCAGCGTTTTAATGATAATGAAGAACTTAACAAAATAAGGTAGACCTTTAATGAAACTTGATTCATTTAGTAACAAAACTGGTGAATTCATTTCTGAATGACACAGTTTCAGGTCTCTAATGGAGTGTCTTTTCCAGTTATTCCTTACCGATCAGTGTCAAAAATAATCAGGTTCGCACCTAAGAATACTTGTCAAATGGCGCCTGACTTTTGATTATTGTACAGCGTTACCTCTTCATCAATGAATTCAGTCACTCAATTGTCAGTGCAACAAGAATTATTCGACTCGATAAAGTGGTAATAAAATGATAGATTTATTAAAAGCATTTCAACAGCTCGTACACATTTTTGAATTTCGGGCATCTTTAGCTATAAATCTTGTGAACATGCGTTACTCCTTCACTTGCGAATGTATATATATATATATTACAAATACAAACCATTCTTATAATAATCTCTCAAGTCATATACAAAACATACTTCACTAGAATTTCTTTTTTAAGCCTACTAACTGTCATGTTTTATACAGATTGATAGACTGACACGTGAATTACGTGAATCTGAACAACGAAGATCTGACCAAGAAACATTAGCAGCAAGTTTAGAACAGAAATACTTAGTTGCTCAACGCGAACTGAATGCAGCTCAAGATATGGCCGATAAGCTGAGAGCCGAACTTGCCTTCAAATCAACACAGCTTAAACAGGTAGAGCTTTAAGCCTATTGAAAACGTTTTATTTGAAATAATGTTGAAAGTTTTGAGCCCAAAAATGGTTTATTTCGGTTATATTTTTTATTTCAGCTGTGACCTTGGTATATATTTTTAAAACTTCCTATTACATGTGTAAACTATTGAAGCATGAATCAAAACTAAAATGAAATTAGATTTGAGTTGTTACAGATCTAAGACATTTTAGACTCATATAATCGATGGATCACTATCTAACGGGAATCAACTAATTTTTATAAGACACATACTATCTGGTATCATAATATACATATTCGCTATCAATGCTGACAGTGCGCCAGTGGTTCAGTGGTAGGATGGTCGCCAACCATGCAAGTGGTTCGGGGTTCGATTCTCGGCCGGCGCACACCTTTACCTCCCCTAGGCGGCTGTAAGTCCAACAAAGAGCGAAGGTAGGGCGTGTGGCCAGCAACCCAACCCCGTGAAAAGCACCACTGCCCCTGAAAATTCAGAGCCCAGACTTGAAACCCCAATGTTCCACTTGGAGCGCAAAGTAATCAAATCAATGCTGACAAGTGTGTAGAGTAAAAAAGTAAAAGTAAATGTATGAATTACACCTAATCTTCTAGACAACGCAATCATTGGATATATGTATCCACATATGCTTACGTATGTAAAAGTATACAGAAAGAAAGTTAATTAATTTACTGGTTATTACATATTTATAAGGAAAAATACCATTAGACTGGTAATTTCCATCTTATTTCGGTTCAGACAAAGTACAACTGGGACACTTTCGCCTTCTGTCCGCCCCCAAATCTGTCTAAGATTATATTATAACCACTTGTACACTTGACTAATATGGAAGAAAAAAGAAATAAAAATCCACCCCCACTAGGCCAATATATAACTGGATAACATCAATACTGTTCACGAATTAAAAGAAAATTGATTTCGTCAGAATGTTTTCATTCTTAAGTGCAACTCAGATTTTTGGATCTTATTTGGGGCTTATATTTCAGTCTGAACTATGTGGGATGTATTAGTTTATAAATGTTAGACAAATAGCGATACTTCTATTTACCTAATATTTGTAGCCGTATGATTATGCAATGAAAGCCTTATTCCTACCCTTGGTATTCATTTATTTCTCTAGAACCTTGAGAATTTTGGAAATGGTAAATTATAATTACTTTTAGTTACAGTTTCATATGATTAGCCGATAAAGTCTCTTCATGTAATGCAACGCAAGCATGTGAAATGGAAACCTACTAATCGATAAGTTGGCATTTTCAAAAGAACTGTAACTAGCCTGAGGCTTTTACCAATTTGAAGCCTTGGGACACTGTGTAACCTAATTTTCAATAAATACGATGGTCTCACCTCAACTGAGACTTTTCAACGCTTGAAGTTCATTTATGTTGTGTAGTCTGTGTTTCGAATTTGTGTGGATTCGGAAGTCTGCTACTGCTGCTCCACACTTTGGACTGCTGATGCAGTAACCTCATATATATATATATATATATATATATAACAAGACTTAACCATTAGAATAGAATTAGGACAAGTACAAATAAGGTCTGAAAAATACACCAATAAACGAGCAGTATGTTTCACTGATAAACTAACTTTTGACATACATTATCACTCAGATGAATATTAATGAACAACGATTTAGATGTAAGATTATGGTCTTTGTAATTTAGGAACAAAAATTCATGAAAGGGACAAACTGAATAAGATTAGGCTTCTGTATATTATGACATGCAAAGATAATAAACGAAGTCTAGAAGAAAGGAATATTGGTCTTAATTCGAAAGATATTTGCTTTTTGAATTTTCCTATATTGGTTACATTGAATCTGACTGGTCGGTTTTCAAGTTTCAATGAGAAAGCTAGAACTAGGCAAGTGTATTCAACTAATAGGTTCTTAACAAAAGGAAACATATGTTTCTGATTCTGTTGTTTCTTGTATTCAGTGTTTTGAGTCACATTTAGTATAATTTACTGTAAACTCATGTGCATTTTACTTAAATATTTAGCAAAGGTGACGATATTAGATGGTTGGAGGCAATCGACAGGAAGCCTTGGGCCTGGGTTTCGTGTTAGTTGGCTTCCTGCCGATTGCCTCCAACCATCAAATACCAACATTTCAAAGTGCACCGTGATGGCAAGCCAACTAGCATGGTGGCCACATTGTAAACTTGACTGATAGAATTCAGTCTGCATCAAAGATAGGACTAGACAAATTACACTAGTTACTGACTACTATCCAATCAAAAAGATGTGATGATAGTAGCTGAACTTCACAAGTTTACATTAGCGTGATAAGAAAACTCTGCTTCTGGGTGTAATGGGTGGTTGTACGTTTTTCTGTTAAACTAATTTATGCGACTAATGTTGGCTGCACACGAATAAGTTGTCAGATGACTCTCATAGTATTTATTCAGTGTTTACTGAAATGTATAGAACTAATGTGCAATTTCGGCACTGGCACTTTACTCTGCGGATATTCCGTTTTTTATAGTATATATATATACATATATGATTTATTGCATTACAGATTATCGGTGTGTAAAATGTAACTCCTTATTTCATGTGAGATTTGCATAGTGTCTTCATTTCATAATATCTATTTTTTGAAAAGGCGAATTTATAGCATCAAGACTAGGGACAATCGAAGATACTGGTGTACTGGTGTCAGAAACCACTTTATCCTACATTATTACAATTATATAATAACTTCCTGTTTTTGTCAGGGTTTACAATGAGGGGAGCTCAGTTTATGCCTTATACACCCAGCTATAATGCAATCTGATAATTACAAGACTAAATTTCTTGTACTTTGTGACATTCAAGTATGATCGCCTAACATTGTTATTGCTCAGAGTTTCATATAATTCCTCTCAGAGAGATTACTTATTTTTCAGTTGATAAGTCAACGAAAAATGAAGATTAGTTGGAGGTTGTTAGGCTCACGTTTATGAATTGTCTACAGGTTCAAAACACCATCTTAACCGTATGTATTTAAGAGTAGGTATACGAGATTGAGACTACCAACTTTGCTTCACGGTATCTAGACTTGAAATCACTCTAGGCTTTGGATTATAATAACATTAGAAATTGTTAATAGGCTCATGATAGTATGAATCTGTTGGTCTACTAGATTCTACAATGATTAAATGTTCCTATTTTTTTCAGCAAGAAGAAAAAGTTCGATCACTGCAGACTAAACTTGATTCTGTGGAAGATGATCTTTTGAGAAGTCGATCTATTTCAAATAACCTTCTGATGAATACATCTTCGAAAAATAAATACATTCAAGAAGACGATGATGGAATTGAAGAGAATGAAGAACAGTTATATTCTGATGAAAGTGGTCCAGAATTAATGAATAAGCAAACATCCGAAGGTGAAACAGAACAGGAAAATGATTCAGCCAGTACTCAAGAGAATAGAATTGTAAAGAGAATAAGGCATAATGAGATATCTTTGAGAAACTATAGTCACTTAAGAAATATTTCACAACAAGACTGGAATTCTTATGAAGATAGAGTGAAAGAATTAACAGACGAAATTGACGAAGTCAGGCAAGAGTTGGCTCGTGCTAAAGAACGAGAAATTGTGAATGAGGAGCACATAACACGTTTATCTGGAACGGTAGGCTTGTATATCTTACTTTTTGTGTTTTAATCCAGTGCTGATTGTGAGATAATGTGTTTCTCCATAAAAAAATTTTTTTTGAAAAAGTATTGAGTTACCTATCCTTTTGTTTACAATGTTTTGTTTCATCTTGGCCACTAAAGTTTTGCAGGTGTTATCAGTAAGCAGAAGTTAAATGAATATTGGCTTTTTATAACGGTATTTGCTTAGTTTGGTTTTAAAACAATTTAATCTCCACCTTTCATTATTCTGGTTTACTGTCGCCCAGATCAAAGATGTCTTTGCCGATAAAATTCTGTGACGTCGAAGTTTCTGGAAATTTCTCTACACTTATTTAACATACGTCAAATGTTAAATCATAAGTGTAAAGTGAAGTGTTTTTGATGTGGTTGTGTTCTCTGAACTGGACAGTTTATTTGCGAAGCTTTCATCGCCCTACTAGGCAACATCTTCAGCGAATACTTCAATTTGAAGTGAGCTTTTAGATTTCTCCACGAGTTTACTAGTCATCTCTCCTGGTGACATTGAAAGTGATTGGTTGTTTTTGTGTGTTTTCACACCCTATAGGCTACTTGTATTGGAACCGAGTATTTCCTTGACTTGAACTTTGATCCTTTGTGTGTGAGATTTCCTTCTTATCGGTTGGAAAATTTTGTCTGTCTAGATGTATCTATTGATTGACGATTCACTGGAATACCAGGCTTCTAAAAATTCTCTAGCATTCTTTATATATAAATAAATGTCCTTTATATATAAAGGACATCTCAGAAATCACTGCAAGACTCTTCAAACCATTAGGAATTGACATCGCACACAAACCAACAAAATCACTGCACTCAGCTCTATGCCAAACAAAAGACTCAACAACGAAAGGAGATAAAACCAACATCATCTACAAAATAAATTCCCCACAACTTTGTGGGTTTCATGTTAACATTTCTAAAGATAGCATTTAGAAAATGGCTGGGTGCAATAATGATCCAATGCTAACAGATCTAGTTGGGCAGTAAAATTTCAATGTCAACACTATTAGGCAACCATGTCTAGTCTTTAAGTCATGCGATGCATATCTAGTCTTACTTGCATTCGAAAAATTGTACCTTGAAATTCAAAAGATGATATGGCCTACATTTCTTTATATCAGTTACTATAATGATTACAAAGGACGGGAAATGACTTATCGATTGACATCTGTAGATTTTTATATTTCATTCCTTTGAAAATTCCTAAAAAATATCTTGTCAGATGACTTTGGTAGAGAAAAGGAAATCTAATTTTCCAAAAATAAACAAAACAATAATGAACAGTAAATAAAATCATATCAAGAACAAACGGAAACCATAATTAATCTTTATTTTTATATTTTGAAAGGATAACGAGAAAAAGCATCAGTAGAAAAATGTTGATGTGTGTTTTTATATTCAGCAGTCAGAGACATCTAGACGTGCAGAAGCGAACTAAAAGAAGCGCTAAAAAAGAAAGTGTAACGAAGAATAATTCAGTTTTTCTGATTATCTGATTTTGTCAGAATTTCTAATTGTTTTCTCACAGTCAACTGGGAGAAATTCTGACATTTTAAAATTAACAATTAGTTCGCATAAGTGTACCTTCAAATTATCGATTTCTTCACTTGATACTCGAGCAATAAAGTTGTACAACCAGACTGCGAACACATTTACCAGTGTTTTGCGAATTTGAAAACGTGCTTGGTCGTTGAATTGCATCATTTTGTATTTTAAATAAAGATAAGCTATGATAATCAATAGGCATGAAATAATGGGATCCCCGGTACTTTCAGCTAGTTCACCAACTTCAGTGACATTCTCATGTGACCATAGAAACCGTTTAGATTATAAATTAAATGGTTCTATGGTAGCTCAACTATCTTCTTACTATTAGGTGCTTAACGGTATTGATATTATTTTCAGGATTTAAAACTTCTGGTGAGTACTTTTCAAAATGTGATATTGACTTCACGCATGGTCGACAGACAAATTTTCAATCTAACGCATCATGGGTTGGTGAGGCGTTCAATGAAAAGTTATGCACTCCAAATTATAAACAGAAAATATGATTAATGTCTTTTCTAAATGAGGCGCAGAAAAAAACTTCACGGCTAAACAACAGCCAAAGAGCACGTGTGATAAAACTTTTGGTGTGAAAAGAGATATTAATTCATGTATTTCAGCTTTATGTTAGAAGAAAAGAATGATCAGTGACGGCTTTACGGTTTCCGGATAGTATTAGGTTTACAGATGACATAACAAAACCATGAATCTTTATTCAAAGTCACCTCGAAAAAATTAGACAACTGAGGGTTGATTACATCCCATTGGGCAAGTTCACCATCAAGTTTCCACCATAGTTAAAGCAAATGACTAGCAGAAAGTGACACTGTCTATTCTTGCTGGTCTTGTTGATATCGGTGTAGCTTTTGAATATATTCAGTGTATTTCATCTAACCCTATTCACATCCATCTCAGTCAATTATGAAATAATGTGACAGAAACTGCCAGACTTTCACAAGTGTGTGTTTAGAAGAAATTCGTGCAATTCCTCGCTTTATTTTCACCTTTCATAAAATTTACTCCAGTACTGTAAAACTTTGTTAAGATGACCTTTCCATCTTACAGTTCGTTTTTATTTTCTAGTAGTTACTGCAAGTGCTTTAGCATTTTCACTTTCCGTGCTCGTCTACAAATGTAATTACGTAATTATTGGCGATTACGAACTAGACATATTTATGTATCTATCAACCATATTTTTCACTTTTTACTGTTGCTAACTGTACGCCTGTCTTGATTTTTGTGGTTACTTTAAATGCCATATACAACTTGAAGGGCATTTAATCTATCTTATTAATCAACATATAGCGCTTGGTACTAATAAGTTAGATAAATTGCTTTGTACTAATGTAAAGTTGTTAACGTGGAAGTAATTGTTAAAGTAGTAGTTTTCTCATTCAGTATACTGATTTTTAAATAACCATTGTCATAAATGTATTTAATATTCTCTAAGGTTGATAAACTGCTACAAGAATCCAATGAACGTCTACAAAATCATTTGCAAGAACGTATGTCAGCTCTAGAGCAAAAACAAGAATTAAACAACCAAATCGAGCAAACAAAAAGAGCCTTAGAATCTTCTATTAGAGAACGTGAAGCTAATATAACTGAATCGGTTTTGTTAAGGCAGCAGTTATCTGAGCTAGCAGCAGCTTTCCGTCATTCACAAGCTCAACTTGCTGCTGCTCATACATCAACATCAGCAGCTCAGGCTGCAATGATGGCGTTGGCCAGAGCGTCAGCAGAAAAAGCCAATATAGAACGACTTCAACAACAACAACAGCAACAACAACAACAAAATGCTGAAATATCTATCCAAAACTCGAGTAAGTTACAGTTCAACTGGATGTTTCTTAAAGTTAATCGAGCCTTCAGACTTAGACTGAAAATGTAGCTTACTGAACAAGACCTTAAGTTAATTTGGTCTCACCCGAAAAATATATGATTTAGGTCAGTTGTAGACGGAATAAATTGAGAACTATCTTTCACACTGTGACTACAAGTTAAAGTACCAGTTTAAAAGAAGCTCATTCTTTTTCGAATCGGGAAACAAAGTCTACTAATAAGCACTAGGAAGTGTAATATCAAGATATATTTCACTTTCAGTCACTTAGCTCGCTCACCTTTATACTGAGTATCCTGAGTTCTATCTCTGATGGATTTACCAAACCTTACCGATGAAGAGTCCTAAACTAAGGCAAAACAGCCGTTCAGTTCTCCTTGGTTTTCAGTGGTTCTCCAACTAATTTCACCTCATGATCACATTTGAATCTAATCAAATCTCTATAAACCAATATTCGAAAGCACCATTCTTCAATTACACCACAGTGTAAGATGAAATGATTTGGGTTGAGAGTTCAGGGTGATTGATATAATACCACTGTAACTCAACAATATTGTTAGAGATTTGTTGATATTTATATATATCAGTCTTTTGTGCTTAGTAAAAGAGTTGAGTGACTTACAGTACCATATCCGTTTTAATTAGGAAAGTCTACTCAACCTACCTCTCTGTCTATATATAGTATGCTTAAAATAGCTTGTAACGGATATAACGGATAAAAATGATGATTTAAAAAAAACTAAAGTACCTCCGTTGCAGCCCTGCGATTCTTGTAAATCAAGAAAGATATTTCAACTCTTCTTAAACAGAACAAATTTAATTAAAACAAGCAGACTTCAAATTTCTTCATATATGACTCTGATGCATTCAGTATTTTGCTAAGAAAATGATGATTTAAAAATGTAACTTTATGCAAAATTAATTAAAATTAACACAATCAAACATCAGACTAGTTTTAAAATTGTATCGTTTATATATATACAAATTCCAATTGTTGTTCAATCTTTCATTCAGTGACAGCATGTCCTACAAGTATAAGAGATCAACAGCTTGGCGTTGAACAAAACAGTCCAATAGATTTAATTTCAAGGTTAATAACAAATGCGTGGATCACATCACAGGCAAATAATTCAGTAAGTGTTATTGCATATGATTTTATTATCTTAGTAGAAGAATAACTGTCTGACTGTTTTAAATTAACTATAACTTTGTCCCAAAAGGTAATTATTATGCAAGCTGTCAATTTTACCCAAATCAATCCGAAAATGAGAGGAAATTTATTTCTCTTTGAATTTATTAATGTTCTATATTACTGAAATAAATAAATTCCGCATCAGATAGCGACGTAATAAGAGCTTACTAATATTCTAAGTATTTCATTATCTCTTATAATAACACATTTAAATACACTACAGACTTCTCGACTGTCATTGTTGTAAAAGTATTGACTCCTTGCATAGAATCTTCTAGTAAGAAAATAATTCATATGTTATTTGGAGCGGCACTGTTCCATCTGAAGCATGCTCGAAACCCAGGTGATATTTTCCTGTCGGATCTTCAGAAAATATATTGTTGTAGACTGCAACCTATTTGAAAGTTGGTGTCATACGTCTCAGAGACGTGTTTGGGCAATTAAAGCACGATGAAATGGTGTTGATCTAGATAGAAAATTAATTAACCGAATGATATGAGCAGGCGGCCGCAAATCTCAAACTATTCCTAGTGAGATTCAATAAACTATAATACGAATTATTGTGGAGGCGCATATTATTTACAAAGTGTATTTAAACTACACATAACGTATAATGCACAAGCAAGACGTATATAGCGTCGGTGGCGCAGCGGTAGAATGCTCGCCAACCACGCATGTGGTCCAGGGTTCGATCCCCGGCCGACCCACTCCTTTACCTCACTAAGCCAGTAGTAAGACTAGTAAAGAGGAAAGATTGGGCATGAGGCTAGCAACCCCATCCTGTAAAAATAAACACTGCTACAGAAACTTCAAGCCTCTAACTTGAAGCCCTATGTTTCACTGGGAACGTAAAGGAATAAAAAAAGACGTATATAAAATTATTATCCTTGTTAAGTTGTAAATAAAAATATTATTGACAAAGTCAGCAAATTCAAAGTGTAGATGCAACTAGAGAAATGTATTATAATGTAGCTTCTAATAACTTAACGATCAAAAGATTTAATGAAATTATCAAGTCGAAACATTTATGTGAGCATAATCTGACATTTAAAAAATTACTTTCTTGTTCATAATGCAGGATCAGGCACAACTTGATGTAAATAGTCCATCATTTGTTAACACAACCATGAATACTACAAACAATACTAATTTAGAAGAATTTTATTCACCTAATGAACTACAAGATTTACTCATTCGACAAAATTTAAACTTGAATACAACATCACAATACCCCACAGATACAGATAATCAAATGTCATTGAATGAAATTGTAAATTTAATGAATATGAAACAACAACCTTTGCCAAATTCGACATCTCGAAGTAATATTCAGGAGGGTGAAAACGATCCAGCAAATGATCCTCAGTCCCTAGCATACATGTTGAAAAGTCAACTGGATGCTATCAATAATGAAATAAAGCTAATTCAAGTAAGTCAGTATTATAATGATTAGAAATATGTACACGGTTTGGCGTTAATATCAAGTGATGAAAAAAAATCTGTTAGCATTTCATAGCGTCTTTTTTTCCTAAGCAGTTCTGCTTATAAGATACACTTGCTATCTTAAAAAAAACTTAATCAAGGTGTTGTAACTTGATAATGATTATTAATACAGTTGGACAGTTGTAATAACCTTACAGTAGGGAATAGCTGTGTGCGTTGGTGGCATAGCGGTTAGGACGCTCGCCGACCATGCACATGGTCCGGGGTTCGATCCCCGGCCGACGCACTCCTTTACCTCGCTAGGCCAGAAATAATGCTGGTAAAGAGGAAAGGTTGGGAATGAGGTTAGCATCCTGTAAAATAAATACTGCTACAGAAACTTCAAGCCACTAGCTTGAAGCCCTATGTTCCACTGGGGAACGTGAAGGATAAAAAAAGGGAATAGCTAAACTATGCGCCTTCATCACTATAAACAGTATGCAATACAGGGCATGTTAAGATTGTGGATATACAAAGCAACTGTAGAAATAATTCACATACTGAAATGCTTCTTGTTCTGACAAAGTTATCGGTCTAAGCAAAATTAGTGATGTTAAAACCCGAGAATGCAAAGTTATGTTACAATTTATAGCATAGAATGAATTCATTCTTTTATATATTTTCTTCTCAGCGATTAAATAAAAGAATCAACTAATGCGAAATGGGTTAATATACTCTTAAAATAGGTAGCTGGCTAATGTAAAGCAAAATAATAGGGAATAGGTAGATCGTATTAATTGTGATGACGTTTAATTTATAAAGGTTAAACAGATTATAGGTTTCCAGGCCGTAGGTGTTACGAACTTCCTGGAATAATTTGAGCGCCGAGTCAGATTGATTCATTATAAATTATTTAAATTAATCCCAGCGTGTTAAGAAAATAAATCTGCTGAAGAACTGTGGCTTACACAGCGAAACGTTCAGAAAAATCTTGTTTTGATTTTCTTAAATAATTTATAAACGGTTGAAAACAGAATTCAGAACTCAGAACACGCTGGTAAATGCTTATAAGAAGATTACTACTAATACATTTTTCACAGATCAAGGATCATTTCATTACTGATAGCATTTAGCCGTAGAATGAAAACGTGTGCACGATTATTAACACCTTCGTGATAAAACTATTGAGTTTGAAGCGGTTAGCGATTAACATGAGAAAACTTCCCTCTGAAAATCATTATTTTATTTGTTTGACGTGCATATAAATAAACACTGAAGCTGTTCCTTCCAAAAAAGTTATTTAAATGTATTAGAAACAGTTCTAGGGATTTACAAGTGAAAGTAGGTGAAAGACAAAACGATTTTTTTCATTCAGTGTTTACATAGTTGATATGGCAACTGCATTGGAATTTGTTTGTAGAATTGAAATTGACGCTAGAATATGTTTTTATTTGAAATAAAAGTGTTTCGATTAATTTTATAGAGAGGGACAAAATTTACAAATGAATAACTTCTGGTAGGAGAAACTTGTGACTGATATTTTTTATTCTGTTTTATAGATCAACCAAAACAGTACAAGGATTTTCTTTCAAAGTACTCACATTTTCATTATGGATAAAATTTATTTTAATAAAGTCACACAGTGTCATACAGTAATATTTACTGATGACGTTTCGAGCACAATTTATTGCTCATAATCAATATCAAGGTACTCACACACAAGTTGTGTGAATAAATAAACTGTGCTCGAAACGTCATCAGTAAATATTACTGTATGACACTGTGTGACTTTATTAAAATAAATTTTATCCATTGTGGAATTATGCGCTACCACAATACTCAGGTTTTATCCTTGTACTCACATTTGCTTCTGAACGAATAGTATCCTGAGAAGTATTTAGTGAGAACTTCATAGGTATTTAGTGTAGCGCATTAAATTTCAGAAAAGTGGTAACGTTTCCTCAGTTTTATGAGTCGGGCTATGTTTTCAACGCCGTCCTTTCATCATTCATTCAAGTACTTTAGGATTCGAGTTTCACTGCAGTAGTTTTTCATAAAAAATTTACCATTAATCTACGTTTAGGATAGAAATTGCTCAAACGTTTTTTCATCTGTATGTATGATAAGCCTCCTTCATCAGCAATACCTTTCAAGTTTAATCACGGATTGATATCAGTTAAAGAATCAGTGAAAAACAAGGAGTACTGGACAGCTGTTTCGTCCTAGTTTTGGACTCATCAGAAAGGCCCACCCATCGGGTTGCGAACCCAGGACCTTCCGGTTGCAAGGCAAGTTCGCAGACAGTTCAGCCACTGGGACCCGACTCAATGGCCCGTGAATTCTTGTAACAATCCGTGATCAAAATTGAAGCAAATCAAATCCCCACAAACAAACTCTTGAAAAATAATATTTTTCGTTGTACCCCGTTTCAGATGTTATGTGAATGTGTCAACGAAGACTAGACTTGTCCATTTATATGTATCATCCATCAAACACTTTTTCCTCAATGATATGAGATCACAGAGAGATCTGCTGTAAAGTAAGATTTTGATAAGGAAGCAGGTATACATGGAATTAGTTTTAATTAACGTAAATAAAGGCGTTCGATAACAATATAAGGTCACATGTCAATATATTACTAGTCATCACCTAACAATAGTGCAGTTATTGAGGAATTCTACGTGACATGTTCGATTTCTCAAAATTTCTTTGATACGTGCTGCTGAAGTTTCAGAATAAGTAGAAGTTGACCTTTGTTTTTTAGTTTTATCTAGTTCTCTTGCTGATGTCCGTGTTTTTGCAGAAAAACACTCAATACAAAGCTCAAAATCAGATGACATCTTTTTTTCCCTATTTTTGTTTGTTAGAATTAGTTGCATAGAAATACAGTTATGCATCTGTTGCTTTTAAGTTAGCATACTTTATGATGACATGTTTACTTACTCTAAACCTTATTTTTGAAGCATGAAAAGGCTACCACAGAGATGTTAGCTGAAGAATTACAAGGACGATATGGCACACTTGATGTAAACGTGGACAGTACAGGTCACTACGGAAAACCTAGAAACCAACATCCTGACGGGCAACTAATCAGCGAGGATAATATTCAAGAAGATGGGACTCGGAACGGCAGTGGCCAGAGATTTCTTGAAGGCGCGGGTGTTGTGAACAAACAACATGCATCAGTAATGCATTCAGCCATAAGTGATCAAAATACCAACGTAGGAAGGAGTGCAGTAAGTGTTTAGCGATTTTCAGGTGATAAATTTTTATTCTTAGTATACTCTACCGTTAATCGCAAGTCTCATATTGACAGATGTCTTTTTTACAGTTTCTGAAATTCAAAAGTATAAATCAAACGCTAGTGAGATGCAACTCTTTGTACGATAGGGTATAGCAAGTCTGTTCACTATTCAGCAGGTACACTTTGTGACACGTGATTTGATCTACATGATTTTTACTGTTTTTTCCAATCCTTCTTTCATCAGAAATTACATAGAGAATATAAGTCATTTGAAACAGGATATACAGTGCATCTTTATAAAATTATGTAACTTAATTCAAGTGTATTTAGACAATCAAAACAAAGTTGTTCCTGAGAGTTTTGCTGTTAGTCAAAATAAGTGAATTGAACCTCTTGAAGGTATTCAATTTTGGTTCAATTTACTAAACATGCATTGATGGTCTCCGTTTGATGTTTGAGTAGTGTTTCATGAGTGCATAGACTTAAGTCAGGATAACACGTATTTCGCTAAATTATGTTCTGATATGCTGCAGTAATCTTGGTAATTTTTAGTAGATTGATTAAAGTAAGATAAGTGTTTTCAAATTTTTGTTATCGCGTATAACTTAAACATTTGAATCAAAGTTCCAATCTATAGACGAAAAAAAAATGCAAAACTACGTTTATTTAAGGCTATTTATTAGTAAGGTTACAAAGGAAAGTAAATAGTGGTGACTTCAAACATGCTGATTTTGCTTGAATGGACATTAACAATTAGCAAGTGCCGCGTGTCTGGTGTTGCCGGTGACCTGTATCCATCATTCAAGTCTACAATGTGGTCACTAAGCTAGACAGCTGGTCACTGCAGTGCACTCTGAATTAACTGGAAGCTATCGGCAAGAATCCCTGTTATAGTCTGAAGATTCTATCTATAAGAATATTTCTCACCTAAAATAGTTAGCAAAAGTAAACCCGTTTTGTGTGAGTATTAATACACATGATGGATTTTGATTTTCACAGTAAATTCGATCTGACATCTTGTTCTAAGCTCATTAATATTTTATTCATAAAGCATTAGAATATAATTTAAATTGCTTTCAGGACCTGACCATGAGCTGACATCAGTTAGAGAACCACTCAAAAATCTGTGAGTACTAGACAGCTACTCAGTCCTAGTTTGGAAATCTCCATTTAGGTTCTAACCCCATTGGGTGCTTCCTTCTGAAGAGTCCCAAACTAGGATTGAATAGCTGTCCAGTGCTCACAAGTTTTCCAATGGTTCTCTAAACCAATCAACTCTCTGCAAACCAACACTTGAATAATTTAAATTGATTTTCCCACTTTGCTGGAAATTTTGTGTTATTTTCAAACTTCTAAATAAACTCTAAGCAGAGTTGCTTGTGCTGCTAAATTTATTAACTTTTTGGGATTTCCACAGGTTGCAGCATAAATGAAAGCTTGCTGAAACTTCTTGGTAGAATTACAATTGTTTTTCCATAGATATTCACTTAGATCCAGAAGGCGTTTACTGATACTGCTGTCATTTGCCCATATGTTTGTACATTAATTAGGACATGTTTAACAGTGACACTGCAGTTAAAAATGAATTTCAAAAATTCATGGTTAATATTACAAAATGGTTAGAGACACTAAACTATTAACACTTGAATAACGTTCTAGACAAACTACAATCGTCTGCAGTCCCATGGGTATAACTGTTTCGATTTTTAGAATGATTATTCGCCGAAAATTTGTTATATGATTGACACAATGCTACTTTTTGTAGGTGTTTTTTTTAATAAAGTATAACAAAAGTAGGTGGCTTTTCAAAGTTAACTGAGGCAAAAAGAAGATTAAGTAACGAAGTAAGCAGAAATAGAACAACAAATAGGAAGTACAAAATGAAATTCATTATCGCATCACTCTTGAGCAGTTTTGAAATACCATTCTACGAATTATAAAACATGAAAATCATTTAATGAATCGCTGTTGATCTGATTACATTATGAACACTAGTTCTTTCAATAGTTTAATTATTCTCCCAAACTATTTGATGTGTGTTATACAACCTTTAAGATATTTCAATTACTCGAGTACTACGGCGTACCCCAAATATTCATCAACCTTATTCAACAGCTGTACGACAACGGCACATGTCAAGTGATCCACAACGGAAAACTCAGCGAAGCGTTTGGAGTAAACACAGGAGTCAGACAAGGGTGCTTATTATCACCAATGATATTCCTAATTGTGGTGGACTGGATTATGCGTCAGACAGTGGGAAACGAGAAGACAGGGATATCCTGGACCACCGACGTGAAGAACCTAGAAGACCTGGATTTTGCGGATGATTTATGTTTGATGTCACACAAAATCGAAGACTTACAAGCAAAAACCGACAAACTGGTCGAAGAAGCAGCTGGAGAAGACAGGACTCCAGGTGAACATAGACAAGACGGAGGTTATGAAAATAACCAACCAACAACAGCAGCAACATCCAGTGCCAATCACCATCAACGGGAGGGATTTGAAAGAGGTTACTTCATTCACTTATCTAGGGAGCATTGTCTCAACTACAGTAGGAACGGACCACGATGTCAAATCGAGAATCAGAAAGGCGAGAAACACATTCATCAACCTGAAACCAGTCTGGAAATCTTCGTCACTCACCATCAACAACGAAATTCAGATTTTCAATACAAACGTCAAGTCAGTTTTGCTATACGGATCAGAAACTTGGCCAGTGTGTCACACAGAATATTTGCATTAGGTTGCAGACCTTTATCAACAGCTGTCTTCGTTCTATACTCAAGATCAGATGGCCGGAGAGAATCACCAACAAGAAACTATGGGAACGAACAAAACAAGAACCAATCGCCCAACAAATATGCAGGGGAAAGTGAAGATAGATTGGACACTCGCTGAGGAGGCCGCTGCGTGACATCGCGCGTCAGACCCCTGAGTGGAACCCGAAGGGGAAGTGGCGAGTGGGACGTCCAAGGGTGACATGGAGGAGATTGTGTGAAGAGGAATTGAAGCAGTATGGATTAACATGGACGCAGGTGAAAAGTACGGCAGAAGATAGAAGGAAGTGGAGACGTACAGTTGAAGCTCTATGTTCCACTAGGAACCCAAGGGAACAATAATAATAATAAGATATTTCAAAATCCTGTCAACATCTCACGTTTATGTAACATGAACACTAAACTGTAAGATAACATCATATTCGATAAATATTGTTAAAACTTCCAGTTGTCTTACGTTACTCATTGTGGTAAACACATCCGTCAAAAAACCTTCCATATGTGTGCCTGAACGTTGACCACCCAGTTCACAAATAACAAAAGCAGTATTTGCTTAACAGCATAAGTTATGAAAACTATCGAATGAATGCTATCGGTAGTAAATCACCGATTATTTCTATTGTTTACTCAAGTTTATACAGCGGATAGAAAGTATGTGAATGAAGGCGGTTAAAACTTGCTTTGGTTAGAACTTGTAATCACTTATTTATAGAACTAAACAGATTAAATATAAGTAGTATATCTATTCAATCGTTTATCTCTTCACTGAAGTTTTTCATCATTTAGTCACTTCTTCTGCAAACATAAATTTTGGCAAAAAGAGAAGCATCCTAGTTCTGTCAACAATAAAAAACCTTTTGTATAGTATTCAATTTTAGAAAAAAACAACAGATCTCTTAAACAACCTGCTTGTGCTTCAATGCTTTTCTATCCAAGTTTACAAAAAGTGCGTAGAAAGGATTTTAACTGGTTCATTCATGCTTACGTGATGGATATGAATGATGAAGTTACTCAGTTTCATGGTATTTAACATGATTATAAAGGCGCAAACAAGGCGGAATTTGAATCCAATGTGATTCATTAGAGTTAATATCTACAGTAATTATCAATCCATCTCTTGTAATCCAGTCATTTGTAAATTAGACAAATATGGGCCATAATGAGAAGAGTATAATATGTAGGCTGATGCTTGTCCGGGTACACCGCATTCATTAAAATTAATTAGTGGTGAAGAGAGGAAGAAAGCTTAAACATTGTATTCTTTCCCTTACAGTATCTGCAAAGGATGCGACCAATGAATGATGAGGTGGAACTTTGTCCCAATTAATCTTAAGAAAGAGATTTATCAAAAGCAACTTCTCCGAGGACATTATACAAAACTTGAAATATTCATTTTGCATTCTTTATTCAGTTTCATTTCTCCAGCCACTTCCACATATTTTATAGTATATAGTTTGATGAGGGTTGTTTTTACTAGCAAAACTTAACACTCAACTCTTTCTCGAGTATCGAGTTGTTAATAGTTGACAGTTTTCAAACTGCTCCCATATAAAAATTTTGGAAAATTCAGGGAATCGAGGTTTAATTCATACCTCTTAGTTGTTTTTGAATCATCTCAAAGATATGATTTTCTAACGTTGAAAGTGTAAAATTAGTCTGTTGGATCTCGGAGGACTGAACCAGGACTGATTTCAGAGAAGTACTAATACATCCTTATAACTCATATCACATTATTTTTTATATTTAAACCACATGTACTACCTTTTGGTTAGAAACTGCCAGTAAAATAGCAGTTACAATTACAGGTTAAACTGTAAGCGGTAGCATAACATTCTACATTGTTTTCACTGCTGTAATTCATCCCACGTTAGATAACAACAAGGACTTGGCAGGAATGAAGTCAGTAGTTATCTGCCTGCCCGATTAGATAATTATAGTTACTATAAAATAACGCTTTCGTTATTCGGTATTCTTTTTTCTGTTTTTTATTAGCCAACATTATATGATTTACTGGTAGGCGTCCTGGCAATATTTTTTGACATGGCTATAAGTAATAGTAGAAACACTTGCAGTAAATATGGCATGGCATGTGTTTACCAATTGTCCCAGTTTACGGAGTAAATGAGTCAAGTAGTTGAAATTAACTGCATGATATACAGATAGGTAGTATGCAGCAGTGTAAAACATTATTGCATGCTAGTCATTGTTA